GAAATTCCATCAGTTTTCTTTCCTTCAGAGACATAATAGGGCTAATTTGTTAAGTAGGACCTACTATCATATATTCATCATCTTTATTCTTAAACTCTAGTAAAAGTTGTAATTAAAATTGTGAAATTTTATGTCCCATTTAATATTTAAGGTCATATTTTACACTTTTTAGGTCATATTTGACATAATTTTGGGTCATAAGTGCATGCATATATTTATAGTTTTTAGGTCATAAAAATCCGGGCCCTAGTCATAACCTAATAGACCATCATATAAATTTTTACTGCTATGGGAACCTCAATTCAGTTTGCTACCATAGTTCCCATTCCGTTGATATTGCATCTTCTAAAAGCAGCAAAAATGTGTATATGTAGCACACAGGATCATTTACATCATGCGGGAACACACAGAAACATTTCTCTTATGTGTATTTACTTTCCTTCACATATTAAGCACAAGAAAAGTATCATATCTCCTGTCTGCTGTTTCTGTGCAGACATAGCAAACCTGAAGAGCTACTGGCAGAGTGTGTACCATTATGCAGATCTGAGTCCACCACCTGATGACTCTCTTGTGACTCTGGCAGCCAGTCTTGCCCGCATGTCTGCTAAGAGTCTTGTACTTAAATCTGATGGTAATGGTTGCTTTGTTCATCCAGGAAATGTCCATGAAGTGACTTCATATCATAATAATGACAACTATAAGGTATGTATCATGATTCAGCTGTTGATTCTTGAGGTTTGAGGTTCTCATTGCAGTGAACTTTAATATCATGGTCTTCTGAGATGTGATGCTATGTAGTTTTGGAGGAACCTGCTGCCATGAAGACAGGGCTGTGGAGTGAATATGGAAGCATCAGGTTGCTCCTGAACATTATTATATCCACCAGACTTTACACAGTCATATCCAAGAATACCATGGTCTTAATTATTGCTTCTTCTTCTTCTTCTATAGAGCATACCTTAGCACAATGCTCCTTGTCTTCTCAAAAATGAGAGCAGAGGTATTATCAGAGAAAATGACCTGTTCCATAAGTTATACTCTTGGTTGAAAGGTGTTTGTTCAAAAATACAAATTTAAAGAACAGTTTAAATGACAGACATTTTTCGCTGATAAACTTCTCATGTAACAAATTTAAGTTCCATCCAGTATAACCAAATTTTGATCGTTTAAAACGTTAACATTGCCTTACATATGTATGTGAGTTTTCATTTTTCCTGTCCTGTATTTGATAAGAAAAATGAAAACTCACACTCACTCATACAC